GAGGTCAAGAGATCGAGACCATCCTGGTTAACATGGCGAAACCCTGTCTCTACTAAAAATACAAAAAAATAGCTGGGCGTGGTGGTGTGTGCCTGTAATCCCAGCTACCAGTTACTCAGGAGGCTGAGGCAGGAGAATTGCCTGAACCCAGGAGGCGGAGGTTGCAATGAGCTGAGATCGCGCCACTGCACTCCAGCCTGGGTAACAAGAGCAAAACTCCGTCTCAAAAATATATATAAATAAATAAATAAAAATAAAAATAAAGAACTTTACTACGGTAGCGGCAGTCTCGTTCGTAGTGGCAAAAGCCTCAGTCCATCCAGAAAAAGTGTCTGCCAACACCAGGAGGTGTGGCTTCACTTCAGTGAAGTCAACTTCCCACCTTTCTCCTGGGCTATATCCTTGGAGATGATGGCCCAATTCAGGCTTTAAGCCTTGCCTGTCATTCATCTGTGCACAAGCCATGCACCGGGAGGCCGCTTGCCTAGTTCAGTCCTGGAGTTGTGGGATTTTTAAATTGGCTTCTCAAAAGTTGGGCCAACTTTGTTTCTTCCAAGTGGGTGGAAGAGTGGAGGTGGCTGATCAGAGCTTCTCCAGGGTCCCGGGGCAGGAAGATTCTGGAGTCTGGAAGGATCCACCATCCGTCCTAATTTTTACTGGCTTGCAGATCCGATGCCTGCTTTGCTTCTTCAGAAGAGTACTCTGGGTGGTCGGGTAAATCAGGCTGTGGGAAAAGAGCTTGCTGGAAGCAGTGTTAATGGAGTAATCAGGAGAACCGCAGCCTCATGGGCCGCACAGTCTGCCTCTAGTTGCCCCTAGCAACAGTAGTAGTTTTTTGGTTTTTTTTTGGATGTCCTTCGCAATGAATTACAGCCACCTGTAGGGGGAGACAGACAGCCTCGAGCAGGGCTAAAATCTTACTTGTTTGATAGTTTTTCCTGCTAAGGTGAGCAGCCCCTGCTCTTGATAGATTGTCCCATGAACATGTACAGTAGCAAAAGCATATCTGCTATCAGCGTAGATGTGAACACGTTTGTCCTTACCACATCAGAGGGCTTGAGTTAGGGCAACTAATTCAGCCTCCTCTGCAGAAGTAGCAGCTGGCAGTGCCTGAGCCCACGGTACTTCAGTCTCGGTGACGACAGCTGCGCCTGCTTCCCGTACCCCCTGCTCGAGGAAACTGCTTCCATCTGTAAACACGGTGGCATCCACCTTTTTCAAATGAGTGTCCTCGAGATCAGGTCTACCTGCTTCTGTAATTTCTAGTAATTCCTGGCAGTCATGAATAGGGGCGGCAATGTTTGGGTCAGGGAGCCGAGTGGCTGGATTTAAACACCTTGTGGGGGAGAAAGTTAAGCGAGGATGATCTAACAGTAAACGCTGATACTGTAGGATGCGTGCATCAGACATCCATTTGCCTGGGGCGCCTCGTAGCAGAGTTTCTACAGCATGTGGTGCTGTGAGGGTTAACTTCTGGCACAGTGTGAGTTTATCAGCCTCCTGAACCAGGATTGCTGTTGCTGCTACTGCTTGCAGACAACTGGGCTGCCTGGAAGCCACATGCAGACAACTGGGCTGCCTGGAAGCCACATGCAGACAACTGGGCTGCCTGGAAGCCACATGCAGACAACTGGGCTGCCTGGAAGCCACATGCAGACAACTGGGCTGCCTGGAAGCCACATGCAGACAACTGGGCTGCCTGGAAGCCACATGGTCCAGTTTCTTTGACAAAGGCCACTGGGCGTCGCCATGGCCCCAAGGTTTGAGTGAGTACCCCTTTAGCCACTCCCTGATTTTCATGGATAAACAAGTGAAATGGTTTTGAGATGTTTGGAAGGGCTAAAGCAGGGGCCTCAGTCAGTGCCTCTTTTAAGTTTTGAGAGGCCTGCTCTTGTCAGTCCAAACCAAAAGTCCATTTCCTCCTGTACTGGGGTACAGGGGCTTGGCAATTTCTGCACACCCAGATATCCACAGGCGACACTATCCCACAGCCCCCAAGAATTCACGTGCCTGTTTCTTGGTGGTGGGGGTGGGGATTCATAAGATAGCCTCCTTTGGAGCATTGGAACTAAATAAAGGAAAAGTGCTCTTTTTCCTTGATTTAGTTCATATCCTAAGTGGGAGACCCTGGAAAGACAAAGCTGGGCCCTTTTAGCGGAAACCTGACACCCAAGCTCCTGAAGGAGATAAAGCAGGTCCTTAGTATGTTGCAGACAGCTTTCTGTAGTCTCAGTAGCCAATAATAAATTATTCACGTAATGGAGTAGGGTACAGTTGGGATGGTGTAATTATATTGGATTGTAATAGCCATTGAATGTGGGGGCCGATTCCTTCTCTAGCCCACTGGCTCATCGGATATTGTCTGACCCGAACAGGTGGGGCATCAGTCTGAAGTTATACGATCACCGGTGGATGATGTTTGCCAGTACTGGGGGGTTTGATTCTGCCCAAACCCGGGGGAAAAGAGCTTGCAGATCCAGGAGGAGAGGGCTAATTTGGTTTTCTTTTGGGACTGAAGATGAGACTAAAAGGTACTCTTCTGACAAAGGAGTGGTCAGCAGGAGCTGAGCAGGAGGGGGCTCTGTGTCTCTCAACTTGAGAGGAGTTTGCTGAGCCGAGCAGGAGACGGATATCTGCAGCTTGTGGAGCAGGTCGTGCCCAAGAAGGGGGAAGGGGCACTCTGGAACTTCTAGAGATGAATAGGTTACTCTCTTTTGGCCTAAAGGAACCTCACGTGAGTGGGTGACAGGATATTGTCGAATAGCTCCAGTAGCCCCCTGTACAGTCATTTTCTTGTTGGAAACACTGCCCAAGGGTGTGTGTAGTACAGAATGTTCAGCTCCGGTACTGAATAAAAAGCTACAGGCTGGCCCCCCACAGTAGCAGTAACTATGGGCTCCCGGGTGAGTGAAAAGGAGCCCCGGTCCCATCCACCGTCAGATTCCTCTCCTGTGGGGAGGTGAGGACTCTTTTTGTTCTCTTTTCTTTTCTGGCTTTAAGGGACATTCCAGTGTTTTGTCTGTTTACAGAAGGCACACTGGTCCCTTTGTCGGGGAGCCTGTTCGCCTTTCTGGATTTTCTGGCGGTAGGGGGGGGGGTCTGGACTCTGGCTGGTACTTTGCGATGGGAGTTCCTCCCTTTCTGCTTCCCAAAGCGGCCACTATAATTTTTGCTTGCCTTTTTCCTGCCCTGTCTGCTCAGCGCTTGAGCTGCCTGCTTTTCCTTTTCAGTTTGTCGGTTATCAAAAACCTTTTGGGCTACTTCTAAAAGCGGAGTGATGTTTATTCCAGCAAAACCCCCTAACTTTTGTAGCTTTTTCTGAATGTCCGGAGCTGCCTGGGCCACAAATGCCAAATTTATAGCACGGCTATTTTTAGAAGCCACTGGATCAAACGGGGTGTAAATTTGATAGGCCTCCTGGATGCTCTAAGAACGCTCCACTACCTGACTCACAGCCCTCTGAACCACTTCTGTGGTCTTAGCCAAGTTCGTGGGTTTTCTGGCCGCTCTTTTAATACCCGCAAGGAGATACTGGTGGAGACTTTTCAAATCCCTCCTTCCCCCCTGAGGTGTTAGGGTCCCACTCAGGTCGGGTAGAAGGAAAAACCTCCTCAAGGAGGTTTAGGGCTTGCTCCCTAGGCTTCCCTTCTGAACTAAGGAAATGGTTTCTGGCTTCTCTTCTAATCCTTTCTCTCTTCAGAGGTGAAAAGGCTAAGAAGGGGCTGTTGACAGTCGTCCCAGGTGGGCCTGTGAGTCTGAAGTACAGACTCCATTAGCGCAGTTAGGACCTGGGGCGTTTCAGAAAACAGAGGATTTTGAGCTCTCCACTTGCACAGGTGGAAAACGGAACTTAAACTAAGAACAGAGCAGCAGAGCTCACTGCGTGGCGGGGGTGGTGTCTCCCTCAAGGGGAAGAGTGGAGTAGCTTCCCCTAACCCCAACCTTGAGGCAATGGGCAGAGAAACCGCCTGAGACACCAGCTCGGGGCGGGGGGCGCTGGAGGTGTCGTTGGAGAGATTGTGCGGCGTCTTTGATTGTAAGGTGGTGGTAACGGGTGTGAAGGGCTTCCCTCCTCCTCAGAGGGCGGCAACACAGCGGGGGCCCGAAGGGGCCACTCGAGCAACCGGTCGGGGCCGGGAGGGGACTTTTTCAGAAGAACCATAGAGGTGGGGTCATGAACAGCGTAAGATCGAAGCTACAGGGGAGGGTTCTGAACCAAATTAGGCCGTTGATCAATATAGGGAAACCGATCAGGGTGCCCGAGCTTTCCGCTAAGAACCTGCCACCCAGCAGGAGCCAGAGGCCGCCTGGTTTAAGTTTCGGCCACTCCACTCCAGAGTCCGGCGTTTGCCTTTCTTAAGGTGGACTCCATGGTTCTCTGAGAAGCCTCGAGAAAAGTTCTTTAACATACACTGCAGGCAGCTCAGTGACCGGGCCCGGAGGAAGAATTTCCCATTTTGAACACAGATTCTAAACTAAATGTCAGGATTCTAAACTAAAATGTCAGACCCAGCACGGGCAAAAGTATTCACGGCCTGGGGGCGTGGAGAATCGGAAAAACGGGAAGATTATAACCTGGAGAAACAAGAAGAGGGATCCCACCGCGATTTGCCACGACACTTAGTATTTTCAGCCTCCGAATTACGGGGAGAAGGCCAACAATGTAGGGGGCTCTTGAACGGCTGCCTGGGACTGGGCTGCAACTCGCCCCTCCGCGGTTTTTCCCAGCCCATCTGTGCCTGCGTGCAGCTGAGCTGTGCGGTCTTAGCTCCCCGTGCTAGGCAGTCCCCGCCCGCGAGGAGACAAAGGCCCTGGGGGCGGTGTTTGCAGGCCTCACCTTACAGACTCTGCCCAACCGACCTATGCAGGAAAAACCGCACTTTTGAATTCCAGCGGCTGCCAAGGCTCTGGGCCGCTGCTTCAGTTTTCTTTACTTTTTTTTTTTTTTTTTTTTTAGATGGAGTTTCACTCTTGTTACCCAGGCTGGAGTGCAATGGCGCGATCTCGGCTCACCACAACCTCCGCCTCCTGGGTTCAGGCAACTCTCCTGCCTCAGCCTCCCGAGTAGCTGGGATTACAGGCATGCGCCACCATGCCCAGCTAATTTTTCTATTTTTAGTAGAGACGGGGTTTCACCATATTGACCAGGATGGTCTCGATCTCTTGACCTCGTGATCCACCCGCCTCAGCTTCCCAAAGTGCTGGGATTACAGGCGTGAGTCACCGCGCCCGGCCGCTTCAGTGTTCTTAAAGAGACAGGACAGAATGCGGGGGAGGCAGAACACCCAGGCTGAAAAGTCCCCGGTTCACAGGCGCTGGGTAGTCTGCCCCTATACTCACATCCGAGACACCTCAGATGTCTCCACGTTTTAAAAGCAGAGTGTTCAAATCAGCCCTTTCTCTTAAAGGTTTAAGGAAGGACAACAAAGCCAAGTCCCGGAGACGCTGGACTCGCTGAGACAGGAAATTGAGACGATCGGGGTAAAGGACGGGGTGTGGAGGAAAAGGGCCACCCGATGTTTCCTGAAGATGAGAGATCAGCCACAGTGGGGAATAATGTGACTGCAAAAGAGTTAGAGTGTTACAGGAATAGGTTTCTCTGGACTGAGTTCCGGCTAAGGGTACTGGGAAAGCGGTGGAGTGACAGAACACGTGGGCAAGGAGAGCTGCAGGATGGCTATTTTGAATCCACCACTGTTCTGAGAAAAAGAGAGCGATGCACCCACTCGATGGGCCGTGGGAGGTGACAGCCCAGACGCCAGCAATCTGTGTGGTGCCACGAATCACGGTCTGGTGAACGTGTGTCACAATTTTCTCCATAGCAACACCTGCTTTGTTTGTTTGTTTGAGGCGGAGTTTCGCTCTTGTTACCCAGGCTGGAGTGCAATGGCGCGATCTTGGCTCACTGCAACCTCCACCTCCTGGGTTCAAGCAGTTCTCCTGCCTCAGCCTCCCCAGTAGCTGGAATTACAGGCACGTGCCACCATGCCCAGCTAATTTTTGTATTTTTAGTAGAGACGGGGTTTCACCTCGTTGACCAGGATGGTCTCGATCTCTTGACCTCGTGATCCACCCACCTCGGCCTCCCAAAGTGCTGGGATTACAGGCGTGAGCCACCGCGCCCGGCCTGATTTGTGTTTGACAGAAATGGCAGGACTGGGTTGGCCAGCCCGACCGCAAATGAGGGATTTGACCTCCTCAGACAGGAAGTCAGCACTGAGGACCTTAAAGAATTTTTTCCTAGCCGACTCGGGCAGTAAAGGCGGCCAGACATACAGTCTTAAGCAGACAGTAGACACTGGGACACACAAACAATTGTGACGGTTTGGACAAACAGAAAAATCATGTGTTGGGGTCACTCTGATGCTCCTCTGGCTGCTCCCCTGACGGGACATCGGGTCCCGCCGGTACAAAGCCCCGGCGGGACCGAGCCGAGCTCGCTGCCTTAAGCCCTGTGAGATGACCACGGAACTGCAGAAAAAGAGCCCAGTCGAGCCCCGTGGCTTTCGCCGTGGGGCTAAATTGGAATTTTAAGGGCAGGGCCCTTGAACTCCCCATTAACTCACACATGCACTCACCGTTTACACAGTTTATTGCGCATTTTATTTCTATTTTTAGGACAGATAGTCCTCTAATTTAAACAAAAAAGGAAAAAGAGAGAGAGGCACTCCCTAACAGAACCGATACTCTGCCCACCCCTGTACTGAAGTGTCAGCAGAGCTAACAGAAACCAGAGCTCCGTTTTCCAGCGTCCAGAAGTACTGGGAGAGCTAACAGACTCTAATTTGAATAAGGAAGAGGAGAGAGAGAGAGAGAGACTCCCTCACAAAAACCGATGCTCTGCACCAGTGTACTGAAATGTCAGCAGAGCTAACAGAAGCCAGACACCAGGACTCCCCCAGAATCCAGAGCCAGAACCAGGACTCTCTCCCAGAGTCCAGACTCAGAACCGGGACTCTCCCCCAGAGTCCACAGCCAAACCAGGACTCTCCCCCAGAGTCCACAGCCAGAACCGGCACTCTTACTTTCAATCAAAGAAAAAGGAAATAGAAATACCTAATAACCCCCAAAAGGTTATTTGCTGCTTGAGAGTTTTTTGTGTATTCTACCTAGTAACCGCTGAGAAATAAGGCTCGAGACACCATTGGCTGGTTCACCCGCACCCGGCCAATCCTGGGCTCCAAACAGTTCAGTGAGATCCCGGGTCCCGCGCGGCACCAGACATCGCGGTTAACGGGAGGTGAAGAGAGCTTTTCTCTTCTTTTTGGGATGCTTTGTTCTCTGGTGGTGACTGTGCCAGTGGGTGAGTTGTATCCGGAAAAGCGTCATGTGAGGATCAGAGGTCAAAAGAAAACGGGTTAATTCTAGAAGGTAGGAAAGGCGGAGGAGGGGCCACAGCTCCGGGGTAGCGGGGGAGCGGCTTCCGCTGTGGACGCGAGAGCGGGCGGGGCCTGGGAGAGGGAAGGCCCGAGGTGGGGGGGCCCGCGGTGGGTGGGGGGCGCGGTTGGGACGCGCGGCCCCGCCTGGCTTTACCTCGCGTGGCCCGGCCTGGGTGCGGGGAGGGGAAGGGAAGGGAAGGGCGGAGGGTGTGGGAGAATCCAGCGACCACAGAAGAAAGCGGACTCTGGCCAGAGAAGTGCGTGGAGGAGGGCGGGAAACGGCCCGCTTCATCTTCGCCCCGACTGCTTATTCCATGGGATGTTTAGGGAATCCCTCTCTCGGGAGATACCTGAGCCTTCACATGCAGGGGACTCGCTGGAGTTGGGGGCCGATGAGACCTACTTGAGTGACAGGAGAGGTTGGGTCCGACCAGCACTGAGGTGCCGAGACTCCTAGGCCGATTCTCCTCTGTGACCCCAGGTCTCTGGTCCCTGCCTGCCCGGGTGCTCATGGAACCTGCTGCTGCCCTGCCCTTCTCCCTGCCGGCCTCCCTCCTGCTCCTCCTCCTCGGCCTGTGTGCGCTGGTCTCAGGTAGGAATGTGTGCCACGTGCTGCTGTCACCTACGGGAAAGGAACGTCCACACTGCAGTCTGCAAAGGGAAAGAAGGACTGTGGGACTGTTGACTTAGCCTTTCGTTCTGAGCATGCGCACTGAGTTTCCCAGCCCTGTCCAAAAGAAGTACAGCCAGGCACAAAGGTCAAGTGCAGGTACAATAGCAAATTTTCAGAGTTTTTAAACTTTTTGTTTATTTATTTAAGTGGCAGTGTATTGCTCTGTCGCCAGGCTGGAATGAAGTAGATGGAGAATGAGATCATAACTCACTGAAACCTGGAACTTTAGGGTTCGCTGGATCCTCGCGTCTTAGCCTCCCAAGTAGCTGAGGGTACAAGCAAGGGCCACCACACATGACGAAGTTTTATTTTTTGTTGAGATATGGTCTCACTATTTTGCCCAGCCTGGTCTCAAATTCCTGGCTTTTAAAGGATCCTTCTACTTTGGCCTTCCAAAGCTCTGCAATTACAGGCGGAGACCCTGTGCCCTGTCTGTTTTATTTTAAAAAGGAAAACCGAGCTGGGCACTGTGGCTCATGCCTGTAATCAGAGCACTTTGGGAGACTGAGGCGGGTGGATCACCTGAGGTCAGGAGTTCAAGACCAGCCTGGCCAACATAGTGAAACCCCATCTCTACTAAAAGTACTAAAAATTAAGTGGGCATGATGGTGGGAGCCTGTAATCCCAGCTACTAAGGAGGCTGAGGCAGGACAATTGCTTGAACTTGGGAGGCGGAAGTCAGAGTGAGCCGAGATCACGCCATTGCACTCGAGCCTGGGCAACAAGAGCTAAACTCCTCATCAAAAAAAAAGAAAAAAGTAAAACCATATATGAAATAAATTTTAAAAATATATTTTTATGTAAATAGTCAAATATCAATGTTTAAATGCTAAGTTAATATAAAATATTACCAATGAGATATTTGACATGTTGAAAGTTTAAATCTTTATAATCTGTATGTGTTTCACACTTAGAGTTCATTTCACTTGTAACTGTTAAATAGCTAGTGGATGGATACCCTGTTGGACGGCTCAAGTTTACACTCAGGCACAGCGCTAGATTGCAGAATGGAGGAAAATCTCAGGGGCACAGGGTGGACAGAGGGTGCCCAGGTGGGCTCTCCACTGTTTCCTTTATGAAGCAGGAGCAGACTCAATACTTCCTGCCCCCAGGGACGGGTGCTGCCGACTAGCCACAGCTACTGGTCCCCAGAAGTTCTCAGCCCAAACACCCCTGTGGCCTTGGAACATCTGTTTCCTTTTGTCCCTGGAATATCTGCTTCCTTTCCTGCCTTAGAGATGTGGTGACTGGCATCCTTGTCTGACTCCATCCCTCTGTTGAACAGCACAGTTTACTGTCGTGGGGCCAGCTGTTCCCATCCTGGCCATGGTGGGAGAAAACACGACGTTACGCTGCCATCTGTCCCCCGAGAAAAATGCTGAGGACATGGAGGTGCGGTGGTTCCGGTCTCACTTCTCCCCAGCAGTGTTCGTATATAAGGGAGGGAGAGAGAGAACAGAGGAGCAGATGGAGGAGTACAGAGGAAGAACCACCTTTGTGAGCAAGGGCATCAGCAGGGGCAGCGTGGCCCTGGTCATACACAACGTCACAGCCCAGGAGAACGGCACCTACCGCTGTTACTTCCAAGAAGGCAGGTCCTATGATGAGGCCATCCTGCGCCTCGCGGTGGCAGGTGCGTTGCTTCCTTTTGCTTTGTTACTTTTGCACAGTGTGACTCTTGGGGACAGTTTCTTCCCTAACTTCAGGCCCATTGCAGACCAATGTCTGGAGTCCCCTTTCCACAGGGAGATTGGCTTCTTCCTGCACAAGGGCCACCATGAGTGGGTTTACCTTGCTAAGCTATGGGCTTCACTTCTTGAGAAGCACACGCATTCCTCAGCTGAGGCCATGAGCAGGGGAAAATAGTTCATCTCGGAAAAGAAAGTCTTATGCCTGCCTTAGCTCTTCTGAGAGAGAGAGGAGACACTGTCAAATATGGCCCCGGGGCAACTAGAATCAGTAAGAACTGCCCAGAGAATGACGACATATGAAATCTGATTGTTCGATAAATGTTAATCTTGACTTTTTCTTCTTTCTTGAAATACTGATTGCAGCACGAATGACTTGTATGTAAATAGATGATTTTATTAAAGCACAACTCAATACAGAAGCAAAATTGTGCTTAATTCCTGCTAACTCCACAAAGGAAGACTAAGAATGTAGCTGGGAAGAACTTGGCAAGGCTTCAGCATAGAAATGTATTTATACTGAGATTTCTAGGAGTTTGTTTTTGTTTGTTTGTTTGTTTGTTTGTTTGTTTTGAGATGAAGTCTTGCACTGTCGCCCAGGCTGGAGTGCAGTGGCAGGATCTTGGCTCACTGCAACCTCCTCCTCCCAGATTCAAGCAATTCTCCTGCCTCAGCCTCCTTACTAGCTGGGATTACAGGCATCTGCTACCATGCCCAGCTAATTTTTGTATTTTTGGTAGAGATGGGTTTCACTGTGTTGGTCAGGCTGGTCTCAAATGCCTGACCTCATGATCCACCTACCTTAGCCTCCCAAAATGCTAGGATTACAGGTGTGAGCCACCGTGCCTGGCAGGAGTTTGTTAAGGTGATATTAGGTGATTACCTCAGTCCTGGGGTTAGTGTATTATGCTTTAAAAATTATACTTCAGAAGTGAAAAAACCTTTAAGGTGCAGAATAATTCTTGGTGGCATTTCAGTCCATCAGATCAGTGAGGCAAGGACTGGGAAATGGGGTTCTTCCCAGAGGGGCACAAATCATAACAGGTGGGAGACCCCATCTTTGCTACTCACAAAGGCAAACTTACAAGTGATTAAAACAGAATATTGTGGAAGGAGGGTTTCCGGTGTCATGACTGTGTGCACATCAGCCCTGCAGTGTTGCCCAGTAATGAATGGTTTCTGTGTGGCAGGGACCCACGACTCCTTCTCTGTAAAACTGACCCTGGCCTGACCTTCCCAGTCTGAATTGGGTCGCTGTCCCACTTTTTGTTTGCTTGCTTATTGTATCCTGTTTGTCGGATTGGTTGGTGGTTGATTTTTCCCTTAAATCTATTGTGTTGTGCTTACCTGTATTGAACCCCATGGAATGTTTTGTAGGATCTGGTTTTCCAATTTGCTGAGCTATTTTAATTTCTTTTCTAATTTAATTTCTTCACTTCTTGAGAAGCATAAGCACTCCTCAGCTGAGGCCATAAGCAGGGGAAAATAGTTTTCTATTTCTACAATTTCTGCCTGAGCCTTCAAATGCACAACTAGTTTTTCTTCTCCTGACCAAAAAAAAAGTGAGCAGAAAGCATTAGACTTAAGTGATTGCTATAATTTCCTGTCTTTGATATAATTTGTTGGGAAACTTAACAAAGGAATTATTCAGGAGAAGTTTGAATGATCACACATGGCTGAAGGGTCTCCCAGGACCACGCTGTTTCAGCTCTCTCACTCCCAATAGTCTCTTTTATTGAGACTATCAATTTATTTTATTAAATATATTCTAGTAAAGTAGAATATATTTAAATGAGTCTGAATTATTAGGATTTTTGGTGCTGATCTCTGACATTGAGGAGGCCATATGGTTATCTTAAGGATCCCACAGGCATCTAGATATTTCTAATATATTGATGATCTCATAGGACTATAAGAAAATTGTCTAATGGATGGAACCTCTGGGAGGTAAACAATGGTGAATTAGAGTCAGAATTGGCTTTGTCAGACAGCCCTGTCTGTTCTCCTAAAAACAGTCACCTCTATCTATGGTGGTAGATAGCCATGGTGATGTGAGGCCCTGAACTACACAGAAGTGACTAGTTTGGTGACTTTGGGTCAAAAAGTTTTTTAAGATTCTGCCAAGGCTGAGTGTGGTGGCTCATACCTGTAATCCTAGCACTTTGGAAGGTCGAGGTGGGCGAATTGCCCAAGCTCAGAAGTTTCAGACCAGCCTGGGCAAGGGAGCAAAACCCCATCTCTATTTAAAGAAAAAAAGGAAAAAATAAGATTATGCAAACTTGGCAGGTTTCTGTCATTAGTGTATTATTTTAGAGCTTCAGGAAATGGAGGTCTGCAGAAAAACCATCCCGGGAGCACAACAGGCAGGTTGAGAATTTGGACACACCCTCCAAGAAGTGAGAAAATTAGTCTTTGCCAGAATAATACAGCAAGCATTTATAGCAGACAGACAGGTGTCTGGTGCTGTGATGGGGCCTTCAGGTGGAGCGTAAAGAAGAGTGTGCAATGCGGGCCTTTCTCTTAGAGATCTCACAATTTATTTTGCATATTGGTCTCGTGATGTTCTCGAAAACCAAGGTTCTTTCTTCTACCCTTCCTTCCTTCACAGAAGAGGTGCAGTAGGGGCTAGGACACCACTGCCTTTGGGCTGAGCCCTGGTCTCCCTCTCTAGGCTTTGGCTCTAAGCCCCTCATTGAAATCAAGATTCAAGAGGATGGGAGCATCCTGCTGGAGTGCATATCCAGAGGGTGGTACCCAGAGCCCCTCACAGTGTGGAGGGACCCCTCCGGCGAGGTCATGCCTGCCCTGAAGGAGGACTCCACCCGTGATGCAGACGGCCTCTTCATAGTCACCACAGCTGTGATCATCAGAGACAGGTCCGTGAGGAACATGTCCTGCTCTGTCAACAACACCCTGCTCGGCCAGAAGAAAGAAAGTGTCATTTTTATTCCAGGTGAGTTCTCTGCCCTCTGAGACTCATGCAGTGCGTGGGGGTCCTCAGCACACAGAGGAGCCCAGAGCGGGCGTCGGGCAACAGTGTGGGTGGAATGGTCCTGGGCCCTGAGGAGCTGGAGGCTATAGCTGAGCTGAGGCCTCTCCCCTTGCCACAAAGGGAGAATCAAAGAGTCCCAGCACTCAGGAGTAGGAGCCTCTTCTCTGAGGGTGAATGTGGTCTTTTTTTTCTTGATTAGGTCTTTATGCTGAGACAACTGTAAAATATTAAGGACAACCATAAAACACGGAGAATGGTGTGGATGGGTGACTGCCTACACTGGGCGTTTCTGTAGCTGCAGCTACTTCTTCCTGCCTATGGGACTCCCCAAAGGACAGAGCTAGGGAGATTCCCTATCAACAGATATTCATAAATGTATTCAACAAGTGTTCAACAGGCATTCCTGATGTTTAAGACTGTTCTGGAAATCAAGGACCAATAATTGAACAAAATATATCAAGATTTCTATCCTCAAGGAGTTCACATTCTAGAGACAGCGTGTGGCTGGGCGCGGTGGCTCATGCCTGTAATCCCAGCACTTTGGGAGGCCGAGGTGGGTGGATCATGAGGTCAGGAGTTCAAGACCAGCCTGGCCAAGATGGTGAAACCCCATCTCTACTAAAACCACAAAAATTAGCTGGGTGCGGTGGCACGTGCCTGTAATCCCTGCTACCCAGGAGACTGAGGCAGGAGAATCGCTTGAACCTGGGAGGTGGAGGTTGCAGTGAGCCAAGATCGCGCCATTGCACTCCAGCTTGGGCCACAGAGTGAGACTCCATCTCAAAAAAAAAAAAAAAAAATGTCAGAGAAATATATGAAATAATTGAAACAAGTGGTTAAATAAATAATTATCTATATATTCTATCACATGGTGATAAGCATGTAGGAAAAATTTAGCAGAGAGAAAATAGAGCATCCCAGGGGTATGAGGCATCAGAATAATAATAATAATTATTATTATTATTATTATTTTGAGACAGAGTCTCACTGTGTCTCTCAGGTGATCAGGCTGGGGTGCAGTGGCACTATCTCGGCTCACTGCAACCTCTGCCTCCCAGGTTTGAGCAGTTCTGCCTCAGCTTCCCAAGTAGCTGGGATTACAGATGGTTAATTTTTGTATTTTTAGTAGAGACAGGGTTTCATCATGTTGGCCAGGCTGGTCTTGAACTCCTGACCTTGTGATTCACCCGCCTCAGCCTCCCAAAGTGCCGGGATTATAGGCCTAAGCCACTGCACCTGGCTGCGGCGTCAGAATTATTAACTAAGTGGTCAGAGGAGACTTCATCGTCAAGATGGAAATTGAGCAATCAAGGCAAGGAACCATCAAAAGCTTAAGGACTGAGCAGCCTAGGCACGGACAGAGCCTGAGGAAGGAGCATGTCTGGCAGTTGTCAGGACCCCTAGGAGGTGATGCTGGCATGGCTGAAATGAAGTGAGTTCAGGAAGTAGGGGAGATGAATTCACAGAGGTGATACAACCACATTATATATGGCAGCACAGGTCATAAATGGACTTTGACTTTCAGAGTGAGTGAGATGGGAAGCACTGGAAGGTTTTGAGCAAATAATTAACATGATCTCACTTGAGCTGCTCTGCGGAGGACAGACTGCTGACGGTAAGGGCAGAACAAGAAGGAGGGCACTGCAGTATTCCAGGTGTGAGTGATGGTGGCTTGAGGCGGGGTGCTGGCTGTGCTGACCGAGCACGGCGGGTCCTTCCCATGCTGACTCCAGATGTTTCTGCTTTTCTGCCTCTGGGCCCTGGCCTGGAAGCCACTGAGGTGTCGGCCAGCTCTGAGCCAGCATCACTTTCTTCATCTGTGTTTTCTGAAGTAGAAACCAGCAGAGCATGTGGCTGAGGGAGCTCTTCAGGTGTGTTCCTAAGGGCACTCTCACTTGGATGTTCTATTTCAAACTAAGTGGACTTTTCTGGCTGCCTTTTCAGAATCCTTTATGCCCAGCACGTCTCCCTGGATGGTGGCCCTGGCTGTCATCCTGGCCACATCTCCCTGGACGGTGGCCCTGGCTGTCATCCTGGCTATTTTCATCATCTTCATGGCTGTGACCATCAGTTGCATCAAGAAGCTTCAAAGGGAAAAAAAGATTCTTCTGTCAGGGGAGAAGGAGGTTGAACAGGAAGAAAAAGAAATTGCACGTAAGGAATTGAGAAAGAAAGTGTGGAAAAATAGAAACTTTTTAAAAAGTTAAATGAATAGGAGAACAGTTCATTGTCATAGAAAGACCACAGCTCTGCCAGGTACCAGCTGAAGGAAGAGAGAGGAAACGCACAGCAGCGAGGGCTCGGGACTCGCATGTCCTGAGAATGAATCTTTCAGAGCTTTCGTTCTTCCATGCTGCACACAGTGCATTCATGCACCTGGCTCTATGCAGCAGCACTACATGACTGCACCAAGACAAGTCTAACCATGTGCTGAAACTACCCAGCCATCTGATCACATATCATTGCTGGATTCTGAGAGTTCCCTAGGCATAAGGGAGGGGTGATGATGTTGGTTTTTTAGAAAGGATGGTTTCGGCATTGTTTAATACAAGCTCAGTTTCTCTTAGTTCTTCTGTTGAAGACATGATTTTGTTTGTTTGTTTTTCAGAGCAACTTCAAGAAGAACTGAGTAAGTTTGGCCTTTCCTGAACTACCGCGTGCACGATTTGTGTTCTCAGTTAGCAGCATCTCATGGCATTCACCTCTGTCTCTCCCTGCAGGATGGAGAAGAACATTCTTACATGCTGGTGAGTGCCTCTGAGGTTCCCTCAGACCTCAGCTTTCTCCCCAGTAGCCAGCTGACAGGACTCCTTAGAGGAGAAGAGCAGGGGGCCCAGGTCAGTTCATCAACAGTGTCCCAGCAATGATGCATCGCGGCTCTTCTGTCAGGGAATCCCGGCAGCTCTCAATCAACCCCCAGGACCCTTTCTCTTTTAGAGTAATTTAATGTATAATTGCCAGAGTTTTCCCATGCACAGTAGCCTCCCCAGGAGTTACTTTTCAGAGGTTATTGCTCTTTGATTCTGGATCATTTTGAAAGAAGACAGTGCTGTCTTAGCAATGTGTGTCCTCGGGATGGCGTGGACTGTGCACTGTTGAAGACCCACGTGGGGAAGAGGCCACGAGGGTCCCTAACAAGCCTGACGCAATGGAGTACAAATAGGCGGCCAGAAATACCTTTCAGTAGGAACTGTCCTCCTACTCATTTAACTCATTCTGCTTCTAAGAGAGCACTGATACTCTACATGTAGCCTGCCAGGGGAAGGAGTTCAGATGAGTTGGGGGGATGAGTGGGAGAGCACAGAGAAACCAATCACCCACGTTCAATGAACACTTCTCATCTTATGATTTGGTACCTGTGGCTGTCAGCATCAGAATCCACGTTTTACCAGATTCCTCTTTGCTGAGTTTTAAAATTGCTACTGTCATTTTGGGACACAATTATAACTTGTCACAATCAGACATATTAAGTTGTGGAAAGGAGAAAATCCTTCTAACTCAGTAGAAAGGTAGACTGAGGAAGTGAGAATACATGCAGATGGGGGCAGTTTGCAGGATGCCCGGCTCCTGGGGCATTGCCCACGTGGGAGAAGTCGTACTGGCAGACATCAGACACGTGTGGTTCAGAGAAATCTGGATTCAAGTACGTCTTCCCTGACTTTGCCCACTGACCCCTCAGGTAGCAGGTTTTCTTTTGTGCTCAATTATTCTCCTTCTTTATCCTTCGAAGGGTGCCTTTGTCAGTCACTTAAATCAGTTCTCACCCATTAAAACAACCTATAGGACCAGTGAAGAGGTCATTCCCCACCCAGGACAGTGTGTAATAAGAGACTCAGTTAATGGATCCATTGAGGGGAGTGTGGTGGAACGACGGGAGATAAAGCTTCTATGATGGTTTCAGCCAAGTTGGAAAGTTTCTAAGTAAAGAAAGTCCCAGAGATCAAATGTCTTGAATAGAAAAGGGAACAGATCTTAGAATGCTGAAAAGAAGTGGGAACCATTAATTTTGGCTCATTTCCTGAACTCTCTGGATTTCATAGACCCTCGATTCTTCTCAACCTGAGGGTGCTGCTTGTCTCTGGAGAGACAGAAGTGCAGCTGCAGTAATTCTCAGGGTATGATCTGCCTGGAATCAGGGGCCCTTCATGGAAGTGGCCACTACATGGGGATCCCCCTGCAGCTTTCTGAGACCTCTCTGGGAGCCAGGAACCACACAATCCCCAGGGTTCCTGAGACCCCAGGCCTAAACCTGAGACTTCCTCTGCAGCCGATGTGGTCCTGGACCCAGATACCGCTCATCCCGAGCTCTTCCTGTCAGAGGACCGGAGAAGTGTGAGGCGAGGCCCATTCAGGCAGAGCGTGCAGGACAACCCAGAGAGATTCGACAGTCAGCCCTGTGTCCTGGGCCGGGAGAGATTCGCCTCTGGGAAACATTACTGGGAGGTGGAGGTGGAAAACGTGATGGTGTGGACTGTGGGGGTGTGTAGAGACAGTGTTGAGAGGAAGGGGGAGTTCCTGCTGCTTCCTGAGAATGGCTTCTGGACCCTGGAGATGTTTGGAAACCAGTACCGGGCCCTGTCCTCCCCTGAGAGGATTCTCCCTTTGAAGGAGCCCCTTTGCCGGGTAGGCGTCTTCCTGGACTATGAAGCTGGAGACGTATCCTTCTACAACATGAGGGACAGATCACACATCTACACATGCCCCCGTTCAGTCTTCTCCAGGCCTATGAGGCCCTTCTTCAGGTTAGGGTCTGATGACAGCCCCATCTTCATCTGCCCCGCACTCACAGGAGCCGATGGGGTCACGGTGCCTAAAGAGGGCCTGACACTTCACAGGGCAGGGACGCACCACAGCCCACAGGATCAATTCCCTGGTCTCACAGCCATGTAGACGAGCCCTGGCCATCTCAGCAGCCACCGCACAACGCCCTTGGTGGAAGACACGCCCTCCCCGCTCTGGTCACATAAGAGAACATCTTCCAGCTGCCTGTTTCACACCCCCTGCAGGCCTCAGCCCCTGTTCACCTCCTCACGAGGCTGTGGCTTTAGCAGTTCATTTCCTTGTAACTGTGGGACGGGATCCAGGCCTAGGGAGCTAGTTGTTACACAGCTCCCAGCCAGGAAGAAAGTGTGAGAAGCTGATTGGCAGCGAACCTGCTGTTTAGCATCAGGGTGACGACATTGAGCCCAGTATGCCAGTTGGCACCAGATGCTGTGGACTTGGAATGAAGCCAACAGGGTTGGCCAGGATGTGGGAGAAGAGAGGAATCCACACGACCACCGGAGGGGAGAAGGAACCAGATATCCAGGTCAGAGCTAGAGGAAGTGGAACCAGAGAGCTGGGAGGGACCAAGGTTGTGAGGGTGGCTGAGTCCCACCATAACAGCTGAGGGGTCCCAGGAGATGATGGCTCATTTCCACCCAGCCCCAGGGTTTCCAGAGCACACACCCACAGGCCTGGACCTGGGATGAAGATGAATGAAGAACATGGACATGTGGCTGTGGTTGGGCTCAGGGGCCCCTGCAGTAAACAAGGAGTCAGTACTCTGTCCTCGAGTGTGGTTGAGATTTGAGGTCCTGGTGGAGCGGGGCAGTCCTGGACCAGATCTGCCTCAGCGTTCCGGTTCAGTGGGGGCACCAGTGACTTCACACTTCCTGGGCTCATTGTGTCTTTAGACACTTAAGAATGTTTAGGGCCTTGTGGGGCTTTTGTTTATTTGAGTTAACGTTTGTAAATATTTATGGTCTTTGATATTGAAACAGAAATTTTAAATGTTATTTATTATTTCATGTTAAAATAGCATGAATAACTCAATTATAGGTTAACATCAATAGGATATTTTATGAAAAAGCATTCTAGTTTCTCCAAACAAAAGATCAAGAAGTGTGACATGCTTTAACTTTTTCCAAATCTCACGTCTGGCTTAATAGAAGATGTTTGTATTCTCACATCTGCTTTTGTATTAAACCTATTAGTATATCATTGGGTATATAGGCTCAAAAAAACTTTGCTGCACCCTACTGAGAGAATGAGATGAAAAGCAATTAGTGTTTCATCATTATTATTACGAAAATAGTATTAACCTTTGGGACACCGTAACTGTATCAGAGTTCTCCCTCAGAATCGCCAGACCGTATTTGAAAACTGGAATAGTGGATCCTGGAAGTGAATCCATGTGCTGGTTAATTTCAGGAGTCATCTCAACTGGACTAAGGAATACCTAGACAACTGGTACAACATTATTTCTGGGTGTGTGTGTGAGTGTGTTTCCAGAAGAGATTGGCATGTGAGTCAGTGGGAAATTCTCCCTTCCAATTGACTGGGAGCCCAGTATCACAAGAACGCAGAGGAAAGGCAGATTCTCCTCTCTCTGGAGCTGAGATGTTCTTCCTCTGACCTTGGACGTTAGAACTCCTGGCTCTCCAGCCTTTGCACTTCAGGACTTGTTCCAGGAAGCCCTGGGTTCTGAGGACTTTGGCTTTGGACTGAGAGTTACACAATCAGCTTCCCTGGTTCTGAGGCTTCTGGACTTAAATTGAGCCATGCCACCAGCATCCCAGGGTCTCCAGCCTATAGATGGGCTGTTGTGGGATTTCTCAGCCTCTCTGATGACAGGAGCTAATTTCCCTATTAAACACCTGCTCATACATCTATATTGTATTGGTTTTGTCTCTCTAGAGAGCCCTAATACTAACAAGCATCTAGAATTCTGGCTTGAATGGTAGTATTTTAGGTTTTAGATAATTCAGTAATTCAACTGGACTGAAAAAATTTAAGTAATCAAAAATTTTATTACTGAAGTTACAAATAGACACCTTATTATAGGAATCAGGAGTGAGTCTTTCAATACCTGATTTGTAAAGATGGAAGGCAAGGTTGGTTGTGTTTATGTGTATGTCTTAGTCTATTTGGGCAGCTATGACAAAAATACCACCAAGCCTGAATGGTTTGTAAGCAAGAGAAATTTATTTCTTGCAGTTCTGCAGGCTGGGAAACCTAAGATCGTAGATTTATGCACACCCCAGCATATTGGTGCGTGGTGAGGGCCCTTAGCCTTGTTCATATGGCAAAGGAGAAGAATTCATCTCTGGGGTCTCTTTTGGAAGGACACTAATGACATTCATTAGGGCTCCCCCAAGCTCGGAGAGAAAATAGAAGGAGGAGATTTCAGACCTCCTGCCACTGCCCTGACCTGCACCTGCCCCTCCTGATCTGTTTTCTCTCATTTAGGAAGCAGTTATCCCGTCTCCTATGTCAGGCTAATTCTCCATCCACACCCTGGACTCTCACTCTCCAGTTTCCCTTAGGACTTCTGTGTTCAGTTCATTCATTCATTCAACAAAAATCAGTGAGTACTAACTACATGCCAATCAGTGTTCTTGGTACTGGGGGCAGAGAAGTACACAAAGCAGAAAGTCCCATTCCTGAAACACCTACCTTTCGGTTGTAGAAGACAGAAAACAAAATAAGTAGTAACATATATAGTGTGTTGGATGATGATAACCGATCAGAAGATAAATAATTCAGGGGAAGGAATATAGGAAATTACAATTTCTAAAAGGGTGGTAATGAGCAAGGGGAGTGAGGCACAGAACACCTGGGAGAAAAGCATTCTGAGCTGAGAGAACAGCAGTGCCAGAGCCCAGAGGCAGAAGCACTGTGGTTTGCGTGAAGAACAGCAATGAGGCTGGCATGGCCAGAGCACACTGGGGGCCCAGGAGAATAGGAGGTGACAAGGCCAGAGGAGGTTGAGGGCCAGATCATATATGGCCTTGAAAGTCAAGGTGACCTGGGCTTTACCTCTGAGAGGGGAGCCACTGGAAGGTTAGAGCAGAAAAAGGACTGGACTCACTTATGTTTTAAGAAGTTACTTCACATGCTGGACTGAGATGGGCCGTGGGTAGGGGTGGTGGATGGAGCCTGAAGACCCAGCTGGGAGCTACTGCAGTGATCCAGGGGAAGATGCAGACGACTTGGACCAGGGAGGAGCCATGGAAATGTTATGTTGCTGGATTTATTTTCAAGACAGAGTAAAACTGCTTTGCCATTAAACTTAGAGGTGGGGTGTAAAAGGGCGTCACAGGTGACCACGAGGTTTTGGTCCTAAGAAATGGTGCAGATGGAGTTGCCACTTACTGAGATGGGGAAACTGAGGGAGAAGCAGGCTGTGGAGGTCAGGGGAGGAGCCAGCACAGAATCCAGAGGTCGGCTTTGGATAGGTTCGGGTTGAGGAGCTTACTAGAGATCCCGGTGGAGGTGTAGAGTAGGCAGGTCAGTAATAAACGTGCAGTCCAGGCAACGGGTCTGGGCTGGAAACACAGTTATTCTCTTTGTCCTCCATGTTCTCGTTGTTGCCACTGCCTGTTTCCCTTCCCTAATGTGTTAGCGGTCTATTGCTGCATGACAAATTACCACAAACTAAGGGATTTAAAACGGCACACATTTATCACTTTAGTTTCTGTGAGTCAGAAGACCAGGCAGAGCTTAGTGGGCTTCTCTGCTCAGAACTTCACAAAGCAAGAGTCAAGGTGCTGGCCAGCCTGTAGCCTCGTCTGGAGTCTCGAATGTGGGAGAGTCCTCTTTCCAGATCACTCAGGTCATTGACAATTCATTTCTCTACAGTAGTAGGACTGAGGGCCCTGGCTCCCTGCAGGCTGGGGCTGGAGGCTGCTGGCAGCTCCTACAGGCCTCCTCAGCTCCCTGCTGTGTGGGTCTCCCATGATGACTGCTTTCCTCTTCATAGCCAGCTAGCAAGACAGAGCCTCCAGAGTGCGTCAGCTGGCAAGACGGAGTCTTACACTACGTAGTCATGGAAGGGACATCCCATCAGCTTTACCATATTTTATTATTTGGCAGCAAACCACAGGTTCAGCTTACACTCGGGGCAAGTACAGGCTGCACACTGCAAGAGGAGCCATCGTAAGGGGTCCACTCCGGAGTGTATGCCGTATGGGAAGCTCAAGGTCCTCCCATTGTAACTGCCCTGCTTCCCCTTTCCCTGGGCAGCACACCCCCACTTGCCTCTCTTTAGTCTCTGCTTCCATACAAGCAATGTCTTACAAAGAGAGCATGCATGGCCCTGAGGCATCACCTGCCCTGATGAGAGCCACTGCTATACCACACCATAAACATTTCCTTTTTTTTTTTTTGAGACAGAGTCTTGCTTTGTTGCCCAGACTGAAGTGCAGTGGTGTGATCTCTGCTCATTGCAACCTCTGCCTCCTGGATTCAAGTGATTCTAGTGCCTCAGCCTCCCAAATAGCTGGGATTGTAGGCATGTGCCACATGCCCAGCTAATTTTGGTAATTTTAGTAGAGAGGGGTTTTTGCCATGTTTTCCTGGCTGGTCTCGAACTCCTGATCTTAGGTGAACCTCCCACCTCAGCCTCCCAAAGTGCTACATTTCAAGCATAAAAACCACTGCTCTCACCCATAACCATTGTTTCTATCAGTTACTAATGGTTTCTCAACCATTAAACCAGTTAAACATTTCTATTTTCCCCTCCCACCCCCATGCTTTACTTTTCAGAGAGACCGGATCTTGCTCTGTCACCCAGGCTGGAGTTCAGTGGTGTGATCATAACTCATTGCTGCCTAGATCCCCTGGCCTCAAGTGATCCTTCTGCCTTAGCCTTCCGAAGTGCTGGGATTATAGCAGTGAGGTTATAGCCCTGCATGGACAGCGCTGTTCTTCATAGTCCTGCCTGAGTAGGTGTTCTTGCCTATGTGACATTTGCCTCATTAATCCTCACGACCCTCTTCTTGGATATTTCCCTACTCCTAGGGAGCTCCTTCTCGGAATTCTTGCTCCACTTTCTCCAGAACTGCTGATATTCCTTAGGCTTTGGTCCTGGCCTCTCATTTTATACCATATATGCTCTTGTAAGATCCAATCCAATCCATTTTCAGAGCTCTACCCCATAAACAGACCCCACCAGCTCCTGTGTTTCTGTCTCCAGCCCCACACATTCCCTGAACTCAGTGCCCACGAGGGATCTCACAATGAGTGTGTCCAAAACTAAATTCCCATCAACCCTGCCTACCCGTCTCTATCTGAGTGAGCGACGCCGCCCAACAGTCATTTTAGACTTCTCTTGTTCTCTCTTAACCAACACATCTGACTCAGGGCCAGGTCCTGCCATTCGCACTTCCTTTCAATAGTCCAGCTTAGCAGTTCCAGCGCAGACTGAAGCAAGACAGCCTGGACTCAGAGCCCAGCTCAGGAAGAAACTACTCGTGTGACCACGGGAAGTCATTTAGCCTCTCTGGACGTCACCTTTTACATCTATAAAATGTGGGAAATAAGCTTTCTACCTCTTAATGTTGTTGTGGGTCTTATTAATACATGTCGAACCCTAAGCACAATACCAACATCGTGGCGGTTTTTATGTAAGTAGTTCCCGGTGTTAATGTTAGTAACCGATCAAGTCTCCTCTCCCCCACTGCCAAGCCACCATCATTTTTTGCCTAGAATGTCACAGGAGCTTTCTTCCTGGTCTCCCTATCTCCTAACATCTGGCCCACGATGAGGGTAGGATATATCAAGCAACCCCAGCAGGCATCATCTCACAGAATACAAAGAAAATGGCACCCTAACCTCCCATCTTCCCCGGCACCTGCCCCACTGCTGTTTTCTGTGTACACATTTCTCATGTCAAACTTTTCAGAGATTTTCCCTTCCTCTTCAAACTAAAACTCCAACTCCGCAGCAGGCATCTGTTGTTGTTGTCTTCAGGGGAGGTGGATTTAGCAGTCATCAGTGCAGGGATCAGAATGGAGCCTTTCAGAAAACAAGAAATGAAATTCATTGAGGGATACTTCTTGTAGAGGCTGTGCTAACTCTTCCTTAAATAACTGATGGAGCAGGTCTTATTTCCACCCTATAGACGAAGAAGCAGAGACATAAATAATTAGTTTACTGGCTTTGGGTTCCCAGGCAAATCAGTTGTGGATGACAACAGATAAAGATAGAAAAAGAAGCCTAGAGACAGTAGATGGTGAGCCAGCATGCCCGGGACATGCTGACAGATAGCCAGATACAGCCGTAAAGATAATTTGTGTTCATGGGAGTTCCTAATGGCCATCAGAGGTAGCATAACAACCATGAGAAATGGACACTTCTTGATGAGATGAGACTAAATAAAGGAGACAGACACACCTATTGCACACAGGACACCACACTAGGTCTTGTAAAAGACAAAGAGAAGATAGGATCAGGTGCCTAGGTCTTGAAGGAGGGCTAAGTGCACTGTGCACTCAGCGTACGTTCTTGTGACTTACTCTTTCTGATACACTGTTCTAAACAAACTGCATGTAATTATTCCATCCTCACAATGGCAACCCTAAAGCCAAGTACTATGACTGTCCTTATTTTACAGATGGGAAACGAGCACAGACAGGGTAGGTGCCTGGCCCCAGGTCACGCACGCCACCTGGCTTCAGAATTGCTGCTCTTAGCCAGTTCATTGTGCAATCTCTGCTCACTAATGTTGAATTTCAGCAGCTGAGACCTACTAGATGGTAAGTTCTTAATTAAAATTCTGTTGAATCATTGAATTCATTTCTGCCCCATTTCACATCCATTTCTTTCCCAGAGTTCTGTATAAAGGACTGCACGAGAAATGGACCAAAGGGAACTCTGATACTTTGGAAGC